CACTCCTTCAACCAATTTTATGCTCTAATTTGATGAGAAACGCTGATGCAGAAAAGCTAAAATTTTGAATTTATTTTTTAAATTTCATCAAGTTTTCACCACATGAAAAAAATCCCCAAACCTTTTTTCCTTTTTTTCCAAAGTGCTGTTATTTGATGATAAACATGCAGAAAAAATAAAATTTTGAAAAAACATTTTTAAAACATTTTCATTAAAATATTTCATCTGACCAAAAAAAACAGTTTCAGATTTTCATGAAAAATTCACCATTTCTAATTTGATGAGAAATATACAGAATATAAAATTGATTTTTTAAAATTCTTTTTTAAAACTTTTTTTTTTAAAAAACTTAACAAATAAAATAACAAATTTGAACAAAGTTTCCTGAAAAAATTCAAAAAATATCCTAATTTGATGAGAGACATGCACAAAAAATAAAATTTGGAATTTTGTTTTCCAAAATTTTTCATCAAACTTTTTCAGCATCTGACCATACTAAATTTAGATTTTGCCAAAAAAATTCAGATTTTTTTTTAAAAAGATCTCAAATTGCTCTAACTGAGAAACATGCATAAAAGATAATTTTAAAAAAATAATTTACAAAATGTTCATCATTTTTAACCATCTGATCAAAAACAACACGCTAAATTTAGATTTTGTCAAAAAAAACTTTTTTAAAAATATCTCAAAATGCTCCAATTTGTTCAGAAACATGTAAAAGAGATAAAATTTTGAAATTTCTTTTCGAATTTTTCATCATTTTTCAACACCTAAACAAAACTGACAACCTGACTTACGATTTTACTGAAAAATTATGAACAAAAATTCAGAAAAAAAAATCTCAATTGTTCTAATTTGATAAAAACGTGTAGATAATATACATTTTTGAAATTTTGTTTTTTAAAAACATTCTTAAAATGCTAAAAAAAATGAAATAGAACTGCTGTCATATTTCATTAGGTCACCATGTCATCAAGGGTTACGACATCACAGGAAATCAAAGGAGCAAATGAGAATCAGAGGAAAGAGCTGAAGGAAAAAAAGTTAGTAATGCAACAGAAATCCAATCAGAGCATCAGCCTCTCAGACATCTGCAGTTTGTGCAAGCAGCAGAAGCAGGTTTGTCTCAAAATGAATCCCTGGGGAGACGGAGTACACAACGGTAGAAACCGTGAGTATTTACTTTACTTGTCTTACAGACTACATTGAGTCCAACTTGGTTTCTATTTTGTTGTAACTGTTCATTTTTCATTTGTGAGGTCCACCGCTGATGATTCTAAGAAGGCACCAGCCAAGAGCGAATCTGTTCACCAATCGCGAAATAGCATTGTTGGATCGATTATGGAAGTCGGGGATTAGTGAATTTGCGTACTTGTTACGAATGGCCTATTTGCAACAGTATGGTCACGTCGTCGATGACACAGAGGAGAACAGCAACACCGATATTGACGACATTGACGTCACAGATGATGAAGACTCGACGGAAGTCCACCGGGACCCCGACGATAACAGTGACCGTATCCAGAGTGACCTTTTGGACACCAGCGATATCAATGATGGAGACGAGGAGGGCGCTGGTGCTAACAGCGTGGTTACGGTTCATCACTTTTTAGAGGAAAGAGCGCTCCTGCCTGAAGGCATGAGAAGTGCGCCCCAAGAGGAGGACGGACGGGTCAACCAAAGATTCAGGTTCTGGGACCATGACTCCGAAAGGAATGAGGTTGAATGGTGAAGAAGTGATGGAGGATCAAACCCAAATCAGTCAGGAAGCACTGCACATGCTAACAGTAACACACAAATATGTATTATATATATTTATACTAAATCTGAAGTTGTTAGCTAGTGTAGTTAAACAACACTAAACAACACAAGCCCTGTGATTTTTTTTTTTAGCTTTATATAGATGTTTTGAGTAGCCTTAAGAAAACTGAACAGACAATTAAGCGCTAGGCTAGGAAGACAAACATTCTGTAAATTACTGTTAAAGACGGAAAGTTGTCAAGATCTCCAACAGATCGGTCACTTCACCTCAGCCTGACCTTTAACGGTGGTGTAAACAGGGAACCAGCCATCATTTAACCCTCTGGTGCCGTTCCCAAGGTGAGATCACGCGCAGTGTCATCCATTTTGTTGTTGGTTGCTTTTTTTATCACCAAAACCAGGTCTGTTATCTGTTCAGGAGACAGACATGGAGGACAGCAAGTGTTGGACCAGATGTTGGGACAGAACACCGGGCAAGGACGGGGAGACTGGGAAATAAGAGTCTATGTTTCCAAAGATGCTTTTGAGAAGACAAACTGATAGAAGACGGAGGACGAGTTAACAAGAGTTAACCAGGAACGATGACAAACTAACTAAGTCACAACTCAGATATTGAACTTCCTATTTATAGGTTCATCACATGTCCCCTCATTTATGTCCTTTAATTCAGGAAAATGAAGCCAATTAGAAGCGTATAAAAAGTGCTGCGCCACTTGTTCACGTTAGTGAAGACAGACTTTGTCATGTAATTGGACGATACTGGTTTTAAAGTCTGCTCTTTGAGAAATGTATATTTTTTTTATGTTTGTTAATAAATCTGTCAATTAATGGTACGATCTTGTCTAATTATATGTGTTGGAGCCAATCACAGCAGGACGTTTAAGACAAACTGCTTGGGTTTGGACACCATCACATCCTTCCAGGAAAATGCCTGTCACATCTGCCCATTAATTAATTAATTAATCAATCAATTATTATGATTATTATGCTCAGGAATCATAGATTTGCAGTTTATTAGGGTTCAATAATCATGAATAACAAACATCAATAACATTTATCTGTTTCACTAAAATTTATCAAGAATGTTCTTATTTCCTGGTGACAATCAGACTAGATCGGACCCATTAGAGCGCCGCCTCGCAGGGGCAGGTATGAAGCACAGAAATGTTTAGACCCACAGGATCATTCTTGCTGTTTCTCCTCTGCCTCGTTGTCCTAACTGCCGTGTAAAAAGGATCCTTTGAAGGACCATAACACCCCTGGAAAGTTGAATCACTTTCATAAGTCCCGTCGTCTCAGCCTAGTATTGGATTTCTTTCCTCAGCTGATATCCACTGTCGCACTTCCTCCTGTAGCTGGTTTATGTTGAAAAAGCTGCTCATCAGTAACCTAAACTGCGCTTCGTCTCCTACCCATTGCATGTAGTTGTCCAAATAAGCAATGTCCTCATTTGTCAGCTGATTGGCCGGTGGAACTACCCCTATGGGTAACAAAATGTAGAAACAGGGACCTGCAAGTCACACAGAGGAGCGCGTTATCGTAGCAGGTTCAGACCATAAACTTATCGGACCTTCAAAGGTAAAGACGAACGGTGAATGTAAAAGAGTTTAATCTAACACTCACGATTTTTACCATTGTGTTGTCCATCACCCCTGGTGTTCATCAGAGATATGGCGCCTCAATTGTGACTTTCAATGCCCCTTCATTGGAAAGCCTAATTCAAATTCTTATCTGAAGAACTCCCCGAATGACTAAAGACGAGTGAGGTTTTACTTTTGTTTTTCAGCCCAAAAAAATAAACTTGAAATGTGACATCGGATCGTATGACATCACACGTGATCAAAGAACAAAGGCTAGGTATTTAAACTACATCAGGATCAGCCTGTAAATGACTGCTGGCTGACTTTAGGTTAGCATCCAGGAAGTGGACGGAAACAGTGCCTATGTGCGCACGTCGGATACCAGACAACACCGAAAGACAAAGAATGATTATGACCAGCAGAAGGCAGCACTGCGACAATATGGTAGCCATCTGCCATAGAGCACCACTGACTTGCCTGCAGTCTGTGCTAACGGTGTATGTACGATGAATGGCCGGGGAGATGGACGACACAACGGTAGGAATCGTAAGTAAACGCACCACTGATTGACAACATGGTATTAACGCTGTTTAACGTCAGTTCACGTGTGATTCCCAGGTCCACGCTGGTACATTATACCAAGAGGAGATTTGCCACCAGCTAATCAGTTTAGCAATTTTGACATTGCTCTGTTGGATACTTTTGTGCAAATTGGAGGAAATGAAGAGGAGGTCAGGGAACTGATGATGTTTCTGCAGAACCAAAACCAAATGAGACTAATACAGCAACTGAATCGTCTGCAACTTTAGCAAAGATAAAGAATGACCAAAGATGTTAAAGAGAGACTTTCCCTCACGTTTGTTGGCCTGGTGGTTTGATGACTTTTATATATAGTTTGGAGAAATACAATAATATTTGCTAAACACTAAAGGTAATGATTGCAGCTGGGCAGGAGTGGGATTAGAAATTAAAGAGAACTGATTAAAATAACTAAATTCCCATCCTGCTAAGAGATCCAGCAACAGAGATTAATCCTGAAATAAAGTTAGGATCAAACTAAAAGTGTGAAAAACGTTTTATCCAAATCTTTTGGAGGAAGTTCTTCACATCATTGTTTCAATTTTATTATATTTCAATTATCATTATTTCTTTGCCGCTGTTGAGCTGTGTTGTTTTATTGATCAGTTTTTTCGGCCGTCACATTTACAATTTCAAAATAAGACCAACATGGAAGGTCTTCCAATGCAAAAAAACAAACAAAAATAAACAGACAAAAATGGACAATGTGTTAGAAGTCTAATGGCAGAGTCTGGAATCAAACTGAGGATATATATTTACTTTCAATTTTTGAACTTAGGTTAAGTAGAAGTTTCATTATAAAATGTTCTGTAAAATTTACAAAAAAAATAATTTTACATTCTATGGGCTAACACTGAAGTACAATTGAAATATATTTACAAAATAATTTTACATTCCATGGGCTAACACTGAAGTACAATTGAAACGGTTTGATTGATTTAACTGAGAACAAGACTAAGCAACGTTTGAGTCAAAAGACTCAATATTGGCTGTCAATATTAATTAGCCAAATCAATGACCCCGCCCTCGACTGATGCCCAATGAGGTCACTGTGAAGGACTAAATGAATGACAACAACGTACTTTATCGGTTCATTGGTCAGTGTTGGTGCACCTCCAAGATCTACTGATCACACAATGACATCACATCTGACATCCATGACTATGACCTCACCAGGGATCAAAGGACAAAGGAATAAAGACATGCGGGGAAATCTCAAGTAGTAGAAAGAATGGGGGAAAAGGTCACGACAGTGATGACAACAACTAATGGATCATGACAGAACCTAAGCTAACGTCAACAGCATAGGACGCAGTAGGAGACGAAGGATAAAGAAGAAGACAGTGTTTGCAACATTATGGGAGCCAAGCGCTGTAACACACCACCAACCAACCTGTAGCTTGTACCAGACGTTTAAAATGAACGCCAGGGGAGATGGACGGCACAACGGAAGGAACAGTAAGTATCGGCTAACTGAATTAAAAAAAACTCTGAACGCTGTTTTTGTCTGTCAACACAACAGATTAGGTTTGTTAGGTGAAAGAAAACACCAAAGGTTTCTTTGACTAGTTCGTACGCTTCTGTCTGATTCGCAGGTCCACGTTGGTACATCCTACCAATGGGACATCTGCCACCAGCTAATCAGCTGACCAATCGGCACATCGCTATATTGAACAACTTCGTGCAGTGGGGAAGGACCGAACAAGAGCTTAGGGAAATTATGATCACTTTGCAAGATCGAAGTCAGCACATCGGTATAGGACGCATCCCAGAGCAGCCCGAGCCGTGAGTATGGAGGCGATGACAACGCTGACGATGCAGCGACGGAGGAGGAAGGAAATGATGAGACGCAAGGGACTGAAGAACGCTACTGACCTTTAGAGATCTGGATCCAGACCAGAATCTATACATCGTCTAGGACAAAACTCTTGTTAGCTCTCTTCTTAACTTATACACTTGTATAGGATCTCAGGTTTGTTAACACAAGTGGGTTTCAATTTGTTTTTGTTTTTTTTTTCACCACACCGCTAGTAGTTAATCGCAGAATGAATTACACGCGAAGGAGAGGTCGCAGAGTTCGACCTCGTACATAACAAAGACTCGCGATCATCAGCAGCCGACGGCTCTTCATTCAGCTGCTCCACTAGTTTAACCCGCGCGCTGCTCCTTTTGTGAAACAAGTTGTGATCAAACTGGGGAAATACTGATCTACACTTTCTGATTTAATGTGTTACATTTAAAATGTGTTAAAAAAAACTGACAAGGGAAGTAGCTGCAATACCTGCAGCCGGGGAAAGGAGCAGATGAAATAGGCTCGTTGTTGTTGACAATGAATGACTAACATTTTTTGAGAATTGTACACTGACAATTAAACATTAAGAGCAGGAAATTGAAGACTAATGTCATTTCTAGGGTTGTCAAAAGGTAACTTGTTAATAATGTTAATTAATTTTTAAAATAATCCAAAAAAAACAAGATTTTTTTATTGATCTGATTCAAAATTTTCCCAAAAGAAAAATATAAAAAATTCAATATTTCCATCCAATAACCATTGCTTCGACATAGAGTCGATACAAATTTCACACATAAAAATAAAATTAAAAAAAATCCAATATTTCCATCCAATAACCATTGCTCTGACATAGAGTCGATACAAATTTCACACACATCGTAGGGAAAAAACATTTCACTGACTATGCATATATATAGACAACTGTATATATATGCAGATTCAATTATATAATAAGGCACATATGTGGAATATCAACTATATGTTACAATATATCAAATAATAAACATCAACAACATTTGTACATCTGTAATACTGGGAGCCACGGGTTGAGCCACAAAAACTTTTGTGTTAATTAAAATGGGTGAAAAATATATATACGAATAATACTTATAAATTATGTACATGATCTACGTCATGTACCGCGTACATACTTTTGAAGAACTGATAGAGGTCAACAAGACTTTTCACCAGCCAATCAGAACCAAACAAGCATTCGTTCAATAGTTCTTCCATCCACAGCCATCCAACATACGTGAGGTGTCACTGCCAAAGATGTGACCCTTTGACATCACTCTACATCAAAGGATAAAAGAAACGTGTTCTTGTTTCTAATTTTCTGTTGAGCCAAACACAGCTGTGTGTGTGTGTGTTGCTGCCTTCCACCTGCAGGAGAAGCCCCCAGACCGAATCGTGAAGACGCCAAATCAGTCTAATCAGAACACAACCTCAAGGCGCGGACAGACAAAGAAGGACGACACTAATGCGACGCTACAAAAGTCAGCTGCTGTAAAACAGTACCAGAGACCGAACCTGCGAGGGGAACAAACCCAGGAAAAGGCACCAACACAACAGTATGGATGCCCACAGCTCCAGCACACCACCACCACCAACTGAGCTTTTCAGTCCCAGTGGCTTCACATTCTTGCATGGATCACAGGGGAGACGGACGCCACGTTCGTAGAAATCGTAAGTACTGATACCTCATCATTTCACGTATCATATATTCTCCCTGACACTAAGTTGTCCAAGCCAAAATATAATGAAGAAGAAAAAAAACAAAACTTCCCTGACTCTAAGTTTTCCAAGCCAAAATATAATGAAGAAAAAAAAACAAAACTTAAATATAAAGGTCGTACCAACCAATTAGAGTGCCCTCTAGCGGCTGTCAGTGTGAAAATAACAAACGTCAATTTACAGTGGTACAGGAGCATCAAATACTGGTACACAAGCTTAGAGTGCCCTCTAGCGGCTGTCAGTGTGAAAATAACAAACGTGAAATTATATATCATATATTATATTTTAATATACAAGTTGCAAATCCAGCCAATTTTTCTTTTTGTAAATGTAAGTATTGTATTTTATATCACAGGTCCACGTTGGTTCATTTTCACAAGAAGAGATTTACCTCCAGACAACCTGTTGACCAACCTCGACATCGCTTGGTTGAACTCCCTGCACATAGGAGGACGGGAGCAGGACAACAGGCGGATTGTGATGATCTTTTTCCCGGATCTTAATCTGGAAAGACTGGATCAACTTCACCTGCTTCCAGAGGTGCATGTGCGGTGGCTGTGAAGAAGCGGAGGAGACAGAGGAGACAGTGGAGACAGTACAGACAGTACAGACAGACGGTGTTACAGGGAGAGAGACATATACCTATATACAACAGAGATCGACCTGTAGAGATCTGGATTCTGTCCTTCTGTGACTATAGGTAGTCAGACAGTTCCAGGGCTGCTCCAATAGTTTAACAAAAAGATCTGATTTATCTGAGCTGGGATTGCAGTTAAAAATGTTGCTTCTTATGTCGTGGCGGTCGATGCCAACCACGTTTACGCTGCACAATTAACTCCTTCAAGATCGTTTGCCATAATAATAATAATGATGATGATGATGATGTGTGTAACATGTATACAGCCATAAAGAGGACACACTGGGGGCGACGTGGAGCAGATTTAAACAATGCTTTGTATTTAAGGAAATAAAGAAATGTATTGTAAAAGTACTACAGAAAGAGCTCTCGAAACCTTTAAGCGGTCGTTGCATCACGTGTGGTCTGTACTTCAGGAGACAAAGGAGATAAATAACCAGAACTGCCCTGTTGGTTTTCAAGAGTGAAACAAATAAAAAAAATTACAACCAAAAGATTGAAGAGAATAAAATAAATTTTACTCTGTTTACAGCAGACAATGTAGCCTGCCAGTTCGTTTAAATTGCGGAGAAAGTCAGAGAAAAAAGTACGGCGGAACCTCAGTTTTCGAATGCTGCCCACGAGCTATTGTTGGATTGTTCGGCAACCGAGTTATGGTACGACAACAACGGGGCAATTTTTGGTTAAAAATGTTGTTCGTAAAACCGAATTGTTTGAAAAGGGGGAGGCGTTCGACAACCGAGGTTCCACCGTACTTTATTAATGTTATTATTCAGCGGACACAAAGTTTTTGACGAAAGTTACTAAATACTTTCCGTGACTAATTCATTCATCTGAACCAGTAGCTCAAGATAAAGTACTCTGTAGATAGTATTAAATACTGTGTGTACTCACCATGTACTAATTAATGAGAAGTCGACACCGGGCTCATCTTCCGCCACCTTCCAGCCCACGTGTTCCCAAAGCACAAACTCCCCACCATGGGGCGTTGCCCTCCCTAAAAAACAAAGATGGTTCTCATGACGTCCATAAAGAACATCAAAGGACACAAATAGGAATTTCTTACGTGGGTACTTTTACTCTATGTGTTTAATGCGTTTTCCCTCATTTTTGTTTTGACCCTCGTGTACGGTTTTACTGTTAAAGATGAGGAGAGCTGGACGTGAATGAGACCTGAAGTAATGGAGGGTTAAGGCCAGGGTGAGGCAGCAATGCTACATGTTCGATGCATCCTGTCATTAATGTGACATCCAGCCTGCAGATTGTACAAAAAGTTCTACGTGAAGCATTTTCAAAGATGGACTTCAGGGGAGATGGACCGCATGTTCGTAGACATCGTACGTATCGTCAATTAATCATCTACAGACTTTAAGTTTTATTATTTTATGTCAACAACATATTTCCCTGTTTGATTGACAGGTCCACGGTGGTTCATTTATCCAAGAGGTTTTTTGCCACCTGCTAATCAGTTGACCAATCGGGACATTGCCTGGTTGGGTAACATGGTGAGAAGAGGAGGGAGAGAAAGTGACATCATGGAAATCATGATCATTTTTCAAGATGTACAGCAGCGAAGAATGAGACTCGAACTTCCAAGTTAAGACTCCGACTTCCGACTTTAAACCAAGAACAACTAACAGTCTGGGTCTGAATGAGTTCAAACTAAAGAACACAAATTTAAAGATATCTGAGCAAAACTGTCAAAACGCCAAAGGATTTAATCTCAAAACAGTAGAATACAGTGACCTTTGTTGATCTTTTTTATTATTTGTATTTGAAGGGTTTGGTTTTGAATATAAAGTTCAATTTATTTTGAAGGTTATGGATAGCAAAAAAAAACTTTACTTCAATTATGACAAACTAACAATTATCTGAATAAAAAAAAACTGCTCCAGTCTTGTCCAAAAAAACTCCTGAAATGTACCAAATTAAATGTGTCCTGGGCCTTTAACACATCCTCAACACCTCAGTCTGGTTTCTCTGTATTTACTGCCGCTGTGCAAATCACAGATTCTTGGTAACCGGTACCGATTAACTCCTTTCTTTAAAACATCCCCATCTGTTTGTTTTGGCAAAGGTTTTGCATCTGATGTCTTACCTGAGGGAACCGCAAGGACTCAGGACAGGTTCCATGACGTACTACGTGATCTGTGAAAAGAACAACAGAACAAGAGAAAAAAAACATCAACAGAAGAAGAGAAAAAAAAAACATTTTCAAAATGCATTAAATGTAGTGACTTTATAAAAGGAAAGGCCTGTGGAGAGAAAAAAAACATTTTCAAAATGTATTGACTTTATAAAAGGAAAGGCCTGTGGAAAAATGGTGACACAATGACAAACATCATCATATCTGGGTCGACGTGTCAGAGTTAAAGGTTCTCGCATGTGTCTTGTCTTGTCTTGTCTTTACTGCCATCTCTGGACACGTCATCTTCTTCGTCACAGACTCCCCCCTTCCTCTTCAACGTCGTCCTGTGGGTTTTCGATAAGATGACAGACTGAAAGGAAGGGAGAACGTAAAAACAAAAGGACCTTGGAAGTTACTGTTGAATACCTTTGAAGTCCGTTTACATCAAAGTAAATGTAAGATAGGACAGGATGCGGCCCAATCCCAACTGGATCATTTAATCCAGAAGGCAGCAATGGGACATTGTAAATACCAACTGCCTTTCAATGTCACAACTATTAGACTAAACAACAGGTCGAAAGATAAAGAAAAAGAGCAAAATAAATGACTAATAAAAGACAGCGTAGCTACGTGACAGGTGCCGTTAGCTGTCAAACACCAAAGTACTTAGGCTATGTTGTTTGCAGAATCTGATGTTGTCTACTTTCTTTCAGAAATTCAGTGTTCACTATATTAGAGTAACGATGAGTCAGCGTCAGATCATTCAAGTCTTTCAGGAGTATCAGAAGTCAAGGATGCAGTTTGTACAAACTGTTGCAGATATGGCATCCAGGCCCCAGAACATCGAAATCCTCCACAGCGCTGGTGTGCTGCCCATGCTGCGCGCCTTGATGTTAGATGTGGTGCCAACCGTGCAGCAGACAGCTGCCCTAGCCGTGGGCCGTCTGGCCGACCACAGCGATGACTTGGCAGAGGCCGTGGTGAAGGAGAACATCCTTCCCCCGCTGGTGGGTTCACTGGCCACGCATAATCGATTCTACAAAAAAGCAGCGTCCTTTGTGCTCCGCGCAGTGGCCAAACATTCACCGGAACTGTCAACTGCTGTCGTGGCCTGTGGAGGTGTGGACGCTCTGGTCCTCTGTCTGGATGAGTTTGACCCTGGCGTGAAGGAGGCTGCGGCCTGGGCCCTCGGACATATTGCACGACACAATCCGTCTATGGCGCAGAGCGTTGTGGATTCCGGTGCCGTCCCCCTGCTTGTAATGTGCCTTCGAGAACCTGAAATGGCCCTGAAGCGCATCGCCGCCTCCACACTCAGCGACATCTGTAAACACACACCAGAGCTCACGCAGACCGTGGTAGACACTGGCGCCATTTCACACCTGGCGCAGATGATCCTCAACCCTGACACAAAACTGAAGAGGCAGGTGTTCGCGGCCCTCAGCCAGATCTGCAAGCACTCGGTCAGCCTGGCAGAGATGGTGATAGAGGCTGAGATCTTTCCTGCAGCTGTGGCCTGCCTCAAAGATCCCGACGAGTACGTACGGAAAAATGTCACGACTCTGATGAGGGAGGTCGTGAAACACACAACGGAGCTGTCCCAGGTGATTGTCAACTGTGGTGGCATGGCGGCGGTGATCGATTATCTCGGAGACTGTCGTGGGAATCTGCGGTTGCCAGGGATCATGATGCTGGGATATGTGGCAGCTCACACCGAGAGGCTGGCCATGGCCATCATCCTTTCCAGAGGGGTGCCACAGCTGGCCCGCTGTTTGACCGAGGAGAGCGAACACCACATAAGGGCAGCGACGGTTTGGACCATCGGTCAGATAGGACATCACACGTCTGAGCACGCTAAGGCCGTGGCTGCCACGGGACTACTGCCCAAACTGCTGCAGCTCTACATGGACCCCAACAGTTCAGAGGACCTGCAGATCAAAAGTAAGAGGTCTCTGAAGAGCATTTTGCACAAGTGTACAGACCTGGAAACCCTGCAGCCTCTGCTCTACGACGCTCCCAGCAACATCCTCAAGCACGTGGTCCTGCAGTTCAGCAAGGTGCTGCCCAACGATCTTCTCGCACGACGCATGTTTGTGACCAGCGGAGGACTGGCCAAGCTGCAGGAGATCAAATCCGAGGACGACAGTGTTCTGCAGCAGTACATCAACAATATCAACAGCTGTTTCCCTGAAGAGATAGTCAGGTATTATTCCCCTGGATACTCGGATGTGTTGTTGGAGAGTCTGGAGAACTTTGAGCCTGATTTTTAGAATCGTTTTGATTGACTCCAACAGACTGGCTGTTCAAGTGTGACAGGAATTAATCAAAAGAATTCCTTTATAACCTGAAAAAAGATGATACTGCAATTGGCCATGTTTGCAGCCACCTTGTGGGGTGGAGAGGTACTGCAGGTGAGCCATGAAAATAAACCAAAGGAAAACAAAAGTAAAGTTATGCTTTATTTCTTTTGGTGATTTTTCTCCCAACAACTCTGCGTGTGTCATATGAATCGTTAACTTTACAAAGTAGCTACGCAAATGACTAATTTATAGTTACTTTGTTTGGTTCCCTGTGGAGGTCCGTGGGTACATTTTCTATGCGAAAATGATTAGAAAATAAAAGGTATGTCGTGGGTACATTTTCGAAAATGATTAGAAAATAAAAGGTATGTGTGCTAAAGCTGAAGCGATTGTTGTCAATTTCCTGTCTAGGGTTTGATATCATAAACCCCTGACGTTCGGTTGCGTCAGAGAGGGCATGAAATTAAAAGAAATGTTAAATATACTGTACGGTTCCTGTGACTGTTCCCGGAGACTATAGTGTGTAAAACGCTACACACTATATCAAGGTAAAGGAAGAGTCTCCACATCCATCAGTTCTTTTTTGTTACAAATCTTTTATTAAGATATTCAGATTTTTTTCCCCCTCAACTTTATCAGTCTGATTTCTTTTTCTCTTTACAGTAGTTTAATGTGCAATAATCTTTATTATTGGGTCACAGTTAGGATTTCACAAAGTTATTGGCACTTGAAACACGTGGAGGGGAAACACTGGCATGTACATGGGGGAAAAGGGTGGTGCAACTGGGCATCAGGGCCATGGGATGGGTGTAGGAGGGTGGAGGCAGTAGGAGGGGAACACAGTTTATCTGTGTTGAGATCTGGGGATGCACGTCTGTCTGTTTTAGTCAGGCTGAGATCGGATATTTTCTCTGTTATCGCTGGACACTACTGCATTGTTTTGTCATTTTTTTTCTCTCATTTTCAAGAATTTACTTCCAAAAGATGTTATGTTGCTTTTTTTTTTTTTTTGGAGATATGAAGAATAATAAAGAATAATACCTCATGCTGCGAGTGCACGTCTAACAATCAGACTCTGATAGTGCTTCTATGTCATAATGTACAGTTTATATATTTCTACTCGAACAAAATAAAAAGGAAAAAGAGCTGTCAAGTTATTTTCACCCAACACCACCAGAGACAAGGAGAATCAATGAGAAAATAGCCTTTCACCGTTTGTTACGCTCACGTGTAAGCCCCGCCCCCCCTTCCCCCTGTCCTGTAGTATGGTTCTGAGGTAAGACTGTGTTGACATGGACTCTCAAAAACCAGTAAAAACCCTGCAGTTCCTGCATTAGCATGATCCGGGAGCGCTCTGCTGAGTCTTCCGGAGTTTGTTCTTGAAAAACAACAACAACAAGAAAAAAAGAAGATGTACCTGCATTGTAACGACAGCCGCCGCAGTTTAAAAGCTGCTGGCGGCGCTGAGTTATCTGTAGGGATTAAGGTTGGCTATGGCTGAGAGCTCCCGAGGTAAACTGGTACTTTTTTTTTTCCAACTGCATCAGTGAAAAGAAGTCACCGACGACACCTGTAGGTGTGAGCGCGTGAGCTTCTGTATCTCGGAGGTTTGCGCGTTTTTTTTTTATTCACGTATACATATACAGTATTTTTATATTCATTTATATATATATATTTATATATATGTATAAAGGTGAGTATGTATGTTGTCTCTGGTGCGTGGGGATTTGGACACGATAAGATTTCTTTTCTTTTTTGGATAGAAGACTGAAGACCTGCAGACAGCAGAGAAGAAGAGGCGCAAAGCTGGAGATTGGTGGCTCTGGGGGAGTTGGATGGCGAGGGATCATAAATTGGTAAGGGATTTACGCCCCGATCAAAATCTGGATTCTGGAATGATGACTCTCTGCTCTCCTCACTCTTCTGTTCTCAGGTTTGGCCAATTCTTACACACAATAAAACCATCGTTCCTTCATGTTTTCAGAGTATCTGAGAAACAATCTGGAAGATTGTACTTCACGGTACAATTGAAACAGAATTATCGGCCTGTTTGGAAAAAAAACAAAACAAAAACAAATTTGGGATTTTTAAAGCTGCAAAAATGTCATTTCTTACCGTCCTCCAAATAATGACCCGTCATTAAACAGCGTCAGTCGGTCGATAAGGTCAACAATTTTCCATTGTTTTTTTTAAAATATCAAACTGTGGAACTTGCTACTCCAATATAATGATGCAGCAAAAAGTAATTTCAGTCAAGTACAATTTTTCACACTATATTCAAAGGGAGTAACTTTCCCCCCCGACACGTCCCATGAAAGAAATGGTTGTATATCAATGATCACATGAGGACACACTTTGTTGTCATGCTATAAATATGATTCAGGTCAAACGCAAACATCATGAACACTGACTGATTTGGCAGAAGAGTGGTTGTAGTTGTAGAATGGCTGTCTGAGAACAACTATTGGTAAACTTTTGATTTTTAACGGCTGGTTTTACTGGCGTCTGCCACTCTCTCTCTCGCTCTCTCTCTCTCTCTCTCAAAAAAAACAATGTTGTTGATTGTTGATTTGATTGTCCAGCCAATGGGGTTTGGAGACTGCAGCCCTACAAAGACATCCATCTTTTCCCAAACAGTCACACGGTTGTTGTTTGGTTTGACAAAATGGATCGTCAAAGGCTTCAAACCTTTTGCGATGTCTGCACTTTTTCTTTAGTCACTGTAGTTTAAAAAAAAAAAAAA